TCGATAAAACATGGATTTGGCGTAATCAAATACTTAATGGTATTTACTGGACACCGAATATCCTTTACGTTTTTCAGGTGAAATACAAAGGAAATATTAATATATGTGTTTTCACAAAAGTTATATAAATGTCTAGTATATTTTTTTTATTTTCATTTTTTTTTACACGGGAGAGTTTATAGGGGCACTGACAACCTTGCGAAGAGCCTAATATATTTTCAATTTTTATACAGGAGAATTTTACGAAAACCTGTCAAAACCATTTTAAATTCTCTCTTAGATCCTACAATTTTAACGATTACTTTAACATCATTCACCAGTTGATCTATGTAATAGTTACACGTTGTGTTTACTTCGCGGTACGATCCGAGTTTTCTCGCTAATGACGGCCATCATAATATTAAAATTCCGCCACCTATCTTTTTAAGCTCTCACTACTTACGACTCTTAACGTCTTCACTCTCATTCTGCCCCTATCACAAGGACGAGCGTGCATTGCCTGGGAACCTTCTAACAATAAGATGTTCTTCTTCCCTCCAGAAATAAAGTCTCTCTCCCCCTTCCCCGCAACTTTGACTTTGCTTCTGATATTCTACTATAATTCGTAACTCTCTCTCTCTCTCTCTCTCTCTCTCTCTCTCTTTATTCTCCAGACCAGCGTCTGTTACGCTGAATGTCCTAGTTTGTCCAACTCGCCTGTTCGTCACATAATCAAAAGTTGGCATTCACGACCTGAAGAAGTACATGCAACAAGACAGCGAAAGCATTTTACATGCCCACTTCATACTTACAATTAGCGCAACGTAGTTCTGTAAACAAGTCTCCAATTTAAGGTTTTTGTTTCGTGTACAGAGAACCGTCATTAAATTTTAATTTGGTAATTACAATTTAATATTTTAATTTCTGTTAATTGGTTCAGAGATGTGATAACTGTTGGAGCTCCGACCAGACTTCAAAGGAATTAATGAAGCAATAAATTAGTCAATATAAGGATGACTATAAGATTGGCAGGACAAATAACCTAAGGGATTACTTATACAAATTCTGTATTGGAACACAATCGTAAACTATGGTGCAAAGGTGTAATGATAAGCGGCCTCTTGTTTGACTGCTTAATCGTTCAATGAATATAAATACATAGGATCAATATTTCACTAATCAGCTTTTATTACAGCGGTAACATTATCTCCTACTTAAGAAAATAAATCATTAAATCTTCCTTATCTTTTCAAACATTTCATCTATTCATTGTAAAAAAAAACATAATCACCATTGTTTACGATAAGCTTCGCTACGACTAATGTAATCTATTGAACTAATCCTGAAATTATTCGCACACAAACCACGAGAACCGATCCATATAAATAGTGGCGAGTGAGTAGAAACTTCAGACAGCGAGAGGAGAGCAACAGTGAACCATCATAAAGGTAAGAAAGGCTTGCTCTCTACTTAATACAGAAGTCTTCAACAGGAAGTTAATTTACAATAAATACGAAATATAATTTCTGGATATTCCTGAATATCCACAATTAAAACAGAATATTAAACAGTAAGGAAAATAAAATGTTCAAATTCAAGGATTGCTGTGAATTTCAAGCATAACCCGGCTAACATATCTGCAAAACGTAGCTTAGAAATCTTTGTCTTGAAAGCATTCTATTCCAGGCTAACAAATTAAGTTTCCGTCACTGTTTTGTTCGGAGCTATGGAAATGTAAAGGTGGTGCAGCTGAATGTTGCCTACCAAAAGGAAATCACGTGTCATATCTTTATGGTCAAATTTACATTCTGCCTATATTTGAACACATATGACGGCTAATTTAGGCTTTATTCGCAAAACGTATTCAGGTGAATCTGTATTAGTACTCAACATCAAATAAGTGCATTCGCCCAAAACTGCAAGGCTTTATGTACAGGTAAACAAAAATGTTAGACTTTTGGAACACGTCTCAGTATTAATATTTACTTAAAAGTTTAAGTTACAATCACATTAGTATATGAAGTGTAACCGACCCAACCCAACATACCAAAAATTTCGAAAACGGAATCAGGATCAAAATGTGTTCTTCGTTATTTCAAAATTATTCCAAAATTTCAAATTATCGGGACAGTGGGTTATTTCAAGCAAACAATTAACATAATAAAAATTAAAACACTTAATACACATTACTTTATAACAAAGAAGTGCCTTCATTTCTAAAGAAATCTAAAGTTGGATTTTTTAAAAATACAACTGAAGATAAGATACGTGAACAGCGGTAATATACGGTGCTCTATCTCATCAGGCAGACCTAACTCAGGTGGCACCAAACCAACCAGACAATGAAAACGCAAGCGATAACAATCGCAGTCCTCGCCCTACTCCTGGGGGCACAGGCTGGACTTATCAAACCACCTCCTGGATCAGCAGCAGAACTTATCAAACCAGAACCCGGCAAAGATGGCGAACTTCTGAAACCTGCTCCAGGGTTAGAAGGTGAACTTCTCAAACCAGCTCCAGGGGCAGGAGGCAGTCTATCGAAACCCGCACCTGGAACAGGTGGTTCTCTGATAAAACCGGCTCCAGGGTCAGAAGGTGAACTTATCAAACCAGCTCCAGGGGCAGGAGGCAGTCTATCGAAACCCGCACCTGGAACAGGTGGTTCTCTGATAAAACCGGCTCCAGGGTCAGAAGGTGAACTTATCAAACCAGCTCCAGGGGCAGGAGGCAGTCTATCGAAACCCGCACCTGGAACAGGTGGTTCTCTGATAAAACCGGCTCCAGGGTCAGAAGGTGAACTTATCAAACCAGCTCCAGGGGCAGGAGGCAGTCTATCGAAACCCGCACCTGGAACAGGTGGTTCTCTGATAAAACCGGCTCCAGGGTCAGAAGGTGAACTTATCAAACCAGCTCCAGGGGCAGGAGGCAGTCTATCGAAACCCGCACCTGGAACAGGTGGTTCTCTGATAAAACCGGCTCCAGGGTCAGAAGGTGAACTTATCAAACCAGCTCCGGGAACCGGCGGTGCACTTACTAAACCAGCTCCGGGGTCAGAAGGTGGACTTATTAAACCAGCTCCAGGACAAGATGAAGAGCTTATCAAACCACTCCCAGGCACTGGCGGAGAACTCATCAAACCTCTTCCAGGCACTGGTGGAGAACTCATCAAACCACTCCCAGGCACAGGCGGTGAACTGATTAAGCCACTTCCAGGCACTGGTGGAGAACTCATCAAACCACTCCCAGGCACAGGCGGTGAACTGATTAAGCCACTTCCAGGCACTGGTGGAGAACTCATCAAACCACTCCCAGGCACAGGCGGTGAACTGATTAAGCCACTTCCAGGCACTGGTGGAGAACTCATCAAACCACTCCCAGGCACAGGCGGTGAACTGATTAAGCCACTTCCAGGCACTGGTGGAGAACTCATCAAACCACTCCCAGGCACAGGCGGTGAACTGATTAAGCCACTTCCAGGCACTGGTGGAGAACTCATCAAACCACTCCCAGGCACAGGCGGTGAACTGATTAAGCCACTTCCAGGCACTGGTGGAGAACTCATCAAACCACTCCCAGGCACAGGCGGTGAACTGATTAAGCCACTTCCAGGCACTGGTGGAGAACTCATCAAACCACTCCCAGGCACAGGCGGTGAACTGATTAAGCCACTTCCAGGCACTGGTGGAGAACTCATCAAACCACTCCCAGGCACAGGCGGTGAACTGATTAAGCCACTTCCAGGCACTGGTGGAGAACTCATCAAACCACTCCCAGGCACAGGCGGTGAACTGATTAAGCCACTTCCAGGCACTGGTGGAGAACTCATCAAACCACTCCCAGGCACAGGCGGTGAACTGATTAAGCCACTTCCAGGCACTGGTGGAGAACTCATCAAACCACTCCCAGGCACAGGCGGTGAACTGATTAAGCCACTTCCAGGCACTGGTGGAGAACTCATCAAACCACTCCCAGGCACAGGCGGTGAACTGATTAAGCCACTTCCAGGCACTGGTGGAGAACTCATCAAACCACTCCCAGGCACAGGCGGTGAACTGATTAAGCCACTTCCAGGCACTGGTGGAGAACTCATCAAACCACTCCCAGGCACAGGCGGTGAACTGATTAAGCCACTTCCAGGCAATGGCGGAGAACTCATCAAACCGCAACCACTTCCAGAGACAGGCGATGAACTAACGAAACCAAATCCCGGAAGTGGAGGTTCCCTTGTCAAACCAGCCCCTGGGACAGGTGGCGGACTAATAAAACCGGCTCCGGGAGGCGATGGTTCCCTTATCAAACCGGCTCCAGGACAAGATGAAGAACTTATCAAACCACTACCGGGCACAGGCGGAGAACTCATCAAACCACTTCCAGGCACCGGCGGAGAGCTCATCAAACCACTTCCGGGGACTGGCGGAGAACTTATCAAACCACTACCAGGCACAGGCGGAGAACTTATCAAACCACTTCCAGGCACAGGCGGTGAACTGATTAAGCCACTCCCAGGCACCGGCGGAGAACTCATTAAACCACTTCCAGGGACTGGTGGAGAACTCATCAAACCACTCCCAGGCACAGGTGGTGAACTTATCAAACCACTTCCAGGCACAGGCGGTGAACTGATTAAGCCACTCCCAGGCACCGGCGGAGAACTCATTAAACCACTTCCCCTCGATCCACTTCCAGGTGGTGATCTCGTCAAACCTCAACCACTTCCAGAGACAGGTGATGAACTAACGAAACCATCTCCCGGAAATGGAGGCTCACTTGTCAAACCAGCCCCTGGGACAGGCGGCGGACTAATAAAACCGGCCCCAGGAACTGGAGGTTCCCTTATTAAACCGGCTCCCGGAGGTGACGGTTCCCTTATCAAACCAGCTCCGGGAAGTGATGATGACGTTGAACTCACCAGACCGCTTCCACCAACAAACAGTGATCTTACGAAACCGGCTCCGGAGACCAGGATAGTGCTGCCACATCTCGGTGAGTCTTTATAATGTGTGGACTATGATCAGAAGCGGGCCTAACTTAGAATTCCCTGTTTTATGCCGGTAAAATAATCTATCTGAATTCGACTTTGATAGTTAAATAAATGGAAATGCATTCTATTGCTTTGAGCACTCAATAAATAGCCTTCATAAGTCATTTGGCTGCTTCCTTTCAGCCTCACCAATTAAAATTCTGTGGCTAATGTTTTTGCTTTCAGTTTTGAGTCCTGAACTCGAATACGCGCTGCAGAATGCCCAGATCTTCATCTCCTCCAGAATCCTGAAGGTACGAATCAGCCGAAAAATTATATTATTATAATATACATCATAAATGTTACCGTTGTGATGGTTTGCGTCACCACACCTACTAGGAATGATAATTTTGTGGCGGAACGTTTATTGGGTTCCGCACCATTCGTCAAAACGATTACAGAAAACGGCAAACTTTGCGTTTGCGTGGGGTTTTATATTACAGTGTATGGGAAACTGTGGTTCATTCCAGTCTAGAGGTCTGCTTTATTTTATGCCAAATTCTGGTATGATTTTCCATTTGGGTGGTTCAGCTGTGACTGGCCTGTATTCGGAAACTATCCATTTCAATCTTCGCCATTTCTGCCTGAGGTTTTTATGTTTTTTATAGCCATCTCGTTCCGAATACTTACCTACCCACTGTTCATAATCGTCTTCCTAAATAAGTACTAGAGAACTCATGATTTAATTTCTTAATCAATTAAGAACGAAAGTTTTCACTGCTGCAGAATCAGAGTTCAAAAACTGGTGTTTTAAAATTTATGAATGACACTGTGTATTAAACCTGTTGTTACACAATAGTGTAATTATTTTTCATTTACAGGCATCAAAGAACCGCTTGATTCCCACAGAAACAGACCTCGCCCTAGATGACATTTACCTCACAATCGATGACGACATATCAGTGTAAGTTGTGTTTACTTACTTAGTTCGCCTCCCACTTACTGTAATTTATTAAACAGGTGTAAAACTATGAGTTGTTACCCTCGATAAAGCTGTACAATTATTCCCCTTATAATTTACGTACGGTGATACATAAAGATGTATTTCGATTGCGTTGTGTTTCTAATAATTCTTTCTTTCAACTTATGATATTACAGACAGCTTTCCGACCTGAGGCTGGTCAACGTACCACATATCGATGTGACAGCAGTGAAACCTAACCTCGAATTCTTGAACCTGGCTCTAGACGTCGACCTTGGGACACTACAAGTTGGAGGCAAATTCGAAGTTACCAGCAAGAACGTCTTTTCCGATATTCCGGTGTTCAGCTCCGGGGAAATCATGTAATTATTTTCATAAGTACACATTTCAATGCTGCGTTTTTAAGACAATATTATAACACTACAGCCCTTCAAATATATATTCATAAACGTGGCGTTATTAATGACAGTTAAACCCCACAAGATTTTACGTTCATATGAATTACAAATAGCGGTTTTATTCTTGGTAGTTAAATATATTATTTGTCGAAATGATTGAAACGTGTATTTATAACGCAATTTTTAAATGAACCCTGACAAATGCTTCACGTATCTGTAATGCTGAAGATTCTCAAGATAGAAGCCAATGACTTGTTCCGGAGCTCTATAGGGTTATTCCTTCTTGTTCACAGCCTGAGAAACTCAGATGTCAAGGCTATTGGCAAAGTGGGTTTGTCAATTGACGGAGACTACTTCAAGACAATCAACTACGACATCCTGTATGAAGGAACTGGAGCATATCTTTCGGTCAGAAAGTTTTTAATTAACTGCAAAACTACATTATATAACGTCATCATTACAATAATAATAACAATCATTAAATGGTTTTATATTTTTATGAATATCTCTTTTTCTAACTACTAAATACCATAAGCTTATACTGAAGTGTTTCGGCTCGTGACATCAAAACATTTTGAATTTTCAGGTTAGCTACAAGAAGGACGAAAAGCGTGTTGTTAGTGGCTTGGATGTGGGTGATCAAGGTAAGGAGTGACAATATCTAAGATTTAGTTAGCTTAAAAAACAGTTTTCATACAACTCTTTCTTTGATGTCATAGAATTTATTGACAGTTGTTAAAAAAAATAGTAAGTGATGTATCAAAACTACCAAAAAAATTACTATACTATCCAGCGCTTTAATTGTTTATAATTTTATTTAATTCATAGTACCAATCTATAAATATCTATAATTTATGACTGATTCATATTGCAGAAGCGAAAGTTGTAGAACACATCAACAAACATCTACAGAAAGTCCTGAACAGTCTTTTGAAGAATCAAATTGAAAACATTCTCGGTGGAATACCTGTTGATAACTTGATCGGAGAAAGCAAAGCAGCACAGACTTACAGGTAACAAGTGACGACCTCGTCTTACTCGTACATTGATGATGCCGACAAAATATTATCACGATATAAAGAAATTCTTGTCTTGTTTTATAATTGCATGCTTTCAAATCTCCACACTTCAAGTTAACCCGCCGAACTTTTGCGTCAACTCAACTCCTTTCCAAGCAAACGCCACACTTCATGATATTATTTCTCTTATTTTTAGGGGGCACGCAAGGGCCCTTCGAGCTGTCGCAAATGAGTACGTGGACGCAGTCCTTGGCGAGGTGCACAGTTACATAGAGGACAATCAGCTGACAGAACTAGCTATTCCTGACATAGAAGCATCATTCTCAAAGGAGGTAAATTAGTTTCTGAATGTATCCGTTGAAGAATAGATTTACTCACTTAAAATTATGCAGTCATGATACATGAATATATATATATATATATATATATATTAAATCACATTTTATCCCAAATTATTTTCAATATAACTTAACTTCAGTTATTTATTTTAATCCGTCTGATCACAATATAATTTTTTATTTAAAATTTTATTGTCCTTATCAGATCCTATGGATTACGTGGCACGGACGTTTCGGGACAAGCCAGGGTGGAGCCAAAGACTTGGGTTCAGTCACAAGGACAGGAGACATCAGTCTGGATTTCGATAGCACCACCGGAGCTATCACAGTGTTCGGAAACCTTGGGCTCTCCGAGTTGGACGTAAGTTGACATTATTCTCCATGGTTTGAGTAAGTAAAGTTACGCTCTGCGTGAACGTGGTGATATAAATGTGTATAAGGCACGCATTTATATTATGAAGTACAACTTTTTTAAAAAAAATGTTATTAAATAACCGAATTTACAGAACCAAAATGGCGCTCAGAAACACTAAATATGACGAAGTAAAGGAACATAATTCATTTCACAGTCATCGACATAGTTCAAAATATTAAGATTCGTCATAAATCTAAAAAATATACATTAGAAACTGCTTGAAAATAAAGTATTAATGAATTAATGGTGATATTACGATAGCAGCATACATTATAGATGTACCTCGAGAGAAGAAACAGGAAAATAATACTGAAATTTTGTGTGGAAACCCCTTCGAAAACATTTACTTGGAGGACCGATATAAGAACGGGAAGATAACATTAAAACGCATCTTTAAGAAACAGGCAATGATAATATTAAAAAGAACTGACTCAGGATGGATACAAAATGGTATCAATTAATTAATTACAGGTGAAATATAACAAGTACGAAGCACAGTTCATGGGCGTAGGACCGAGTGGTACTGTGGGCGTCCACATCGGACAGAATTCCGTGTTCCTGAAGGTTAGCCTGCTCTTGGCTATCGAACCAGTCATTTCTCTCCAGGATTTCCACATCGAGTACGCCAAGTAAGTGTCCCTCGCTCACGTTTCAGACATGGAAAGCTGGATGATACGATGATACAAGGTTAACGAAATTCATGATATTTCAAAATCTTTTGTCGGCGTTGGCAATGAACCTCCTGGATTCTTTTCTTGCGTGAATAAAATTATGTACACTATTTATGCGCTTCAAACACATGAATATGACTGTTCGCTCTATTTATAAAAAGGGGCTTAATTTCTTTAAGTGATACACCCTTTGAAACAAAAAGTTAATCTAAACAAATTAATATTCACATGTTACCGGTACAAATATTAACCGGTTAATGTCGTTTAAGAAAATAATCACTGTTTATTCTAAGACTCACAGAACCAAATATATGCACTCTTTAAAAAAAAGTTACAGAATGTTAAAAATATATGGTATATATAAGTACCACTATGAGTTAAAGAGTTAAAATCTAGTCTAAAGCTTCAGCCGCCAATGTGTAAGACCAGTTAAAAGATGTATACCAAAGTTACCTAAGAAGAACGAATTAACACACAACGATAGCACGCAGGAGCAAGGTAGTCAACCCACATCTCAATGTGTGTCCATTTTGTCAATAGGGACATCAGCATCGAAGTGACTGGACTCGGTGTCCTTGACTGGCTAGTGTCCAACATCGCCACTTGGGTCGTCAGCTTGTTCAACGACCAAATAGTCGGCTCCGTGGACAGCCACCTGCAAGATTACGTCAGCAGTATCCTGCCAACTGTCGATCCTTACAGATACTTCTCATAGACATGTGAAGAAATATAACACTACGGTCCTGTATTATATAAAGTATTATGTAGTTTAATTCTTAATTGGTTATTAATGTAAATATAACATTCTAATGGGAAATAAATATTAGATTCTGCAATTATATCTGTGTGACATTATTTCAATTAGCAACTCTAACGCAAGCCATGTGCCAGTGAAATGTGTACTGACTAAAATGTACCCAGCCAAAGGTTCCAAAAAAAGCTAAAACCAAAGCACGATATTTCGTCGTGATCTTGAACAACTTCTAACCCCCAAAATCTACTCCCTTACGATCTATCCTAAAGTTATACATCCATCTCTCTTTGACCTGAGGAGTAGCTAATTTGCAAGTCATTTGACAATAAAATTCAGATCGAATTTCATCCGACCTATATGTTTGGTTCATTACAGGGTCGTAGATTTTAGTGTCCTAAAATATTAGGAAATCTATAAAAATTACAAAGTCCTTCATCATGTAAGATTAATTGCCAATCTATTCAGCCTCAACCAAATTATAAAAATATTTTCCTTAAATTTCTCCTCTCAGATGCTTGTAACTTGAGTTCTTCCCTCGAATTAAGAAAGGACAACGCTTCGTAGATGCTCATAACTGGACTTTCGTGCTCTAAAAAAATAATCTGTACTGCCATGTCTCATCTCAAAGATTAAGTAGGTCCGAATACAGTGGCCTCTGGTTTATGAAATAGCAAATATCTTTACAAGCGCATAGATAAAAACTTCTTATTTAATGTACTCAAAACAGCCGTTCTCAAATTTGATACAACTTTGCAGCTTGGGATGGTCAGTATGCCCTGTACATACACAGCAATTTTAAGTAAACCTTAAAATAAATTATAATAAATCAACTAAAATATGCTATTTATATGCTATAAACCAAGTAATCGGTGTTATGTACGCCTGAAAAGTGCCTCTGTGTTAAAATCCAGACATCGATTTCTTTTATGATGACATAACTGAATTGAAATAAAATGTCTACAAATAAAAGGTGTTATATTTCAAAACTTCTTTTCATTTTAGACCTGTCCTACGCGTACTGTGATTTCCGACCCCAATCTTTAAAATTTAAGTTCATAATTATGAATCTAAATCACTTTGACAATCTTACGCCCCCCTCAAAAAAAAAATTCACTTGAAAATTTAAGTTCTAACCAACGTCATCACGAAATCATGCGGCCAACTACATAAAGCAGAGTCTTTGTTCAGAAAGCACGTGGACAGTTGTTCATCTAATCACGAAATGATCTCGAATTTTAATTTTATTTTCCGATACTACGATGGGATATTCTTACTTCATAAATAATGAGCGTCTGTATAAAACATATAAAGCACGTATCTGTACGTATATTCCTGATTCTCTTAGAAAGTTAGGGGTTGAGCTGTGTTTGCCGTGACACGCATCACAACTTATCCGAGGAAAACCGTGAGTGCACTTACGTGTTCTGTGCACGTCATTAACAGAAAGAGTGAAGACATGAAACCGTGCATGAGTAAAAACTGGAAACCACATAGAACCTAAGTTGGCAGGGAGTAGGTCTACAGAAGTTTGCTCCAACTCTGCTGAATAGCAGGGGATTTGAGCACAATGCGACGTAAAGCCTCGTTTCATCCCTGTCTCTCCTCATCAAAATCAGCTTCCCCTCGAAGTTAGGCTTCACCTTAACCGAACAACAAAAAACAACAAAATCTGTACACCAGAGCGGACTCACAGTGTACCAGGAACAAATAAATAAACTGTGAGTTGTTTAGGAAAAGTGCTTTGCCCCCCCCCCAAAAAAAAACCCTATTGGTAACTATAAACACCACTTGCTTCAAAAATGATTAAAGCTGCATTATTTATGTTTTTCGTATGATTCTCAGAATAAATTATAATTATTTCCTTAGTCAACTTATCATTGCTATAGAAAATTGTCCTCTTTGAGGTACGGACTGAACTCCTAAATAATATTCTCTTAAGCAGACCTTTAAATATAAATACGACATTTCAACCCTCAAGTAGCTCCCCTCATGTTAACAACGTAAAATCACCAATGCCGCCACTCCCACCCCCCGGTCAAGGTTATTACCGTAGTCCAATACCTGATCGATGGCTCTAAACAGATTTTACATAGGGATTCACATGACATCTACCCCATTTAACGAGATCAATACAAGAAATATGAACAGGGCTACACTACGCACATTTAAAGTTGCGTTTTAAAATACACGAAACTCGGCATAATACAATATAAATGCTCTTCTATTACGTCATAACGGAAGATAAAACTTTAGTACAGAATTACGAAAGGAAGGTCCAGGGCAGGGGCTCCACTGAATAAACATTCTCCGAAGGACAAGGCTACTCGGGTGTGTTCTCTCACGCCACTTTACCTCGGTCTACGATTTAACGAAGTGACATTCTGGGAAGATGGGCACTTCAGAATTGACCTGGACCAAACTATAGCTGTTACACGAACCCTAGCGAAGCCACAAGCAAGTAGAAAGGTCATTCATCAGCTCAGATGCCATTGTCGTCGCTAGGATACAAGAGACTCCAGCATTATGCAAAACGTGTTCCTTTATCTTCGCTACAGTTCAACCCCACTGTTACCAACTCAACCAACACCTCGCTGCAGGAGAAATAGTTTCTGCACAAAGGAATTCGCTCTGAAATACCTCCCACTGTGTACAAAGGAAATATTACAATACGAAGTGTGGTTGATAAGTTCTGAAGAAGTATAGGAAAAAAAATATGTATAACTCAATTGTAAATAGAACAAGAAAATAGATATTCGTGCCACGCTTGTCAGTATTCAGCTTCTGGGCAGTACCACCGACTTTGCAGAAGAACGTGCTGCCTTCATCTTTGGCCGTTTGTAATTAATGTTGACATTTATTCAAAACCTGATGATGAAAATATGTGTGACGTACATGATTTATTTTATCATGGACCAAAACGATTGAAGAATTTCTTGATATGGGTCAACAGATATGTTGACACATACAAATATTCATCCTTGTTGACATCCGAAATAAAATACACCAGACTTTTGTCGAGCTAATTCTGAATTATTTATTTATATTTTATTTAGTGTTCTGTCTGACGACAGGTCCATATGAACAGGATCCTTCCATCCTTTTCTCTTCTCGGACTGGGACCTGTTCATATACGTTCTTGGCAGATGATCCAGAAGTGGTTTGCCATTGCCTTCTTCTGTGTGTGAATGGAGTAATTGTTGGGATGCCACGGAGGAAAACTCCGTGTTGCCTAGACCACGGCCTTGCCCAACACAAGTTATAAATTCGGGCGCCGTCGGGAATCGAACCCGATATCCCAGGATTACAAGGCCAGCGTTCTAACCGCTAGACCACCGTGGATCTAATTCTGAATTATAAATGTTTTAAGATACTTGAAACAAAATTGTCTCCATCCGAAGTAATTATAAAAGTAGAGCAACATCTTCATAAAGATAGTAGCAATTAATTTAAAATGCGACCTCCAGGTCCTGGTATTTAATGGGTCTCAAGAACAAGGTCTGGTCTTCGCGCTGAACAGATGTCGTGCCAGATGGAGTGAATTATAATTTAAATGGTCTGCTGCATATCGAGAACCAGTGCTCCAAGGCGATCGGAAACTGAGTGTATCGGTAAGTAGCGAAGTCTTCGGGGTTGCAGAACGCGAAGGGGTGCAAACAGGAAGAAACTCTGTGACTGCAGAACGTCCCTTTAGGGTCTCACGACATGTACGTGCATCGGCGCCAGTAGCTCAGGATTAACAAGGGCAATTGCTTTCAAAGGGCGAGGCCAAGGACCACATGCAACCTACCCCAAACCACAGCCTCTAGAAATATTCGCGGGGTTAAAACACGTTCAATTTTCTCATTTGGAAGGATAAAGCAGTGTATCTACTCCTTCTCCTTTCTTTCCTTCGCCTTTCATCAGTGATTACTTTTTCATCCCCTTTTCCTGAAGGGGATTCCAGGAATAAATTCGCTTCTGTCCTTTAATATTTAAACGCCAATCTACCTCTGCCTGAAACGTAATTATGGTGCCAAAATAAACGAAAATGTTCGAAAAAAGTTTATTCTGTATATAAATTAATACCACATCCAAACCCATTATCTGGACTCCCCCACCCCAAGATAGAAATTAAATATGATTGTAACAATTTAAAGTAGACAGATCAAATGTCGGTGTTGGTCCACCAGGGTTTCAACTGTATGGGACTTGAAGGTAACAAGGAAAGTATTTACTTCATCCTCAGGGCTGAAACGCCTTCAGCACAGCATTATGGTTAGGAATCCTGAAAGTAAAAGACCACTCCTGGGAGGATAATATTAAAATGGATCTTAGAGAAATGGGATGACGTGGACTGGATTCATCTGGCTCAGGATAGTGTCCAGTAACGGGTGAACGCGGTTCCATAAAAGAAAGAGAACTTATTGACGAGCTTAACGACTATCAGCTCCTCAAGAAGAACTGAATTCATGGAACAGACACACACAATGTCGTTCCGTCCCACGTGCGGTCAGCGGAAGACTTGAAGTTGCTGTGCATACAGTATTATTTTTTTTTAATTACGTCCGCGTTATAAAGAATGAAGCTTGGCTGAAATGCATCTGTCCAACACAGCGAGCCACTAAGTACAGTGGGAATAATAAGTCCAGTTTCCAAACAGTGTAAGTTGCAGATATGTGGCTGACAGCCTTTCCCTCGGCCTCCCACCCCATCAGCTCCAACCCCCTCAGCTTTTATGCAGTAGTCACTTGTCCCTGGAAAATTATCCTTCTTTTACAGTCGCTCCTGATGACAGGAAACGGTCAGGAACACACATTAAAAGCTGGCTGCATTACCCAGGAATAAATGGTAACAAGTTTAACAAATTCTGCTTCTTTAAACTAATTCTATGACGCTGAATCTTGCACCGGTCAAAGAGGCTTATTCCTCAAACCTATTAAGCGCCATTCCATGAAGGCTTATGGGGTCGTGGAGGCAAAACTCCAATGTTTCTTGATCTCAAAACTAGATAAAGATGAATGGTCTACTTCCCGCTCCGGCTACCTTAACCCTGAGACCCCGGTCCTTTCTGGGCAGAAGACAGAGACCGGATATCATACTACATAG